GCGTGTCCGTACTTTTAGGCGGCTCCAGAGAATAATCCTATCGAAACCGAATTTCATTTGAATGGCTGAGGACACCAGTTCGCGTACCAGAAATCTTGCTATACGCTGGACACCGTCACGTATCTTTCGCACTTGGCTTGGAACACGGACGAAAGCCGTAAGGTCACCATTTCACAATTATAAGAATGCCTTCGATCGTGTTAATCGACGTCTGTTGCTGCGCCATCCCGCCTATGGACACCGTAATCAACGCTGGCCAACATAATCCACTTTACGTCTAAATTACCGAAAGTCTTCAACACCATCAAACCAAACAGGACAGCAAACAGGTTGAAAAGGAGCTTCATAGGAGTCAGCAGACCTTTAAATGAGAAGTGACTGTCCTCGTTCACGTTACGCATTTTTGGACTTTTCACCTCAATATTATCGATTTGATCTGACCACAAGGTGACCCAACTAGATAGGAAATGAAATCTTACATGACACCCATGAGAGTTTTTCGGTTTCGATCTGGTAGTCTGTTGACAGTGAAGTGGCCATGAGTAAAGTATCCATGGTACCCAAGATATTTTTAGGCAAGGTGTTCCGCTACTCATGAGTAGAATGTCTTCGAAACCAGTTCGAAGGAGCTAGAATCATTTGGTTCTGCGTTTGCTGGTTCATAGTGGAAATACGTGGGATTGTACAGTATATCCAACTAAAGAATCGACCATTCTTGGAAACGTCAGGTAGCTCCGCCGACATATATACTGTGCAGTCACCAGCGTACTTTTTTGCGTTTCTCTCCTGGTTCAATGACATAATTTACTAACCAGACCCACAAACGGGTGAAATGAAGTTTCGAAGGGTCACAATCAGCATCGAAAACCATGGTTTTAATCGGTGATCGGTTTCAATCATACGTCAAAAGTGCACAATTCACAAGCCGCACAACTGGATGGAAGTTAATACTGGACTTCAACCACGTTAATCCACACACCTGCACGCACCTCTGTGTCCTCTGTCCTCAACCACATTCTGCTATTACTACCTAAAGTGCATAGACCCGTGGAAATCTGGGAATGGCCGACTATGTAGCGAACCTGCCTACTTGAAGTGTGTCAAATCAGCAACCTACCCCTGGTTATATGGTATTCTGTAGTCCATGTGTACATTCTCGAGAAAGCAGCGATCCAGCAGAGTAAGAATAGTGGCGACAAATTCAACACTCCTGTAAAATAGGACTCCCTGTTGTTGGTGTTATATATGCCGAACGCTCATTGTAAGGAAACAAACCTATACAACGCATATTTCCTTCTCGTTCCAGAACTTGCAAAGGATTTTGAGTGCTACGTCGGTGCGAGCATAATTTGCGGCATCCCATGTTCCTTCTTCTCGCTATAAGCCACAATATCTGAATCCACCTGAGTTTTCACCTGTTCCACAGCACTAATACCTCTGGAGCATTCATAGGGTGTTCTTTGATCAGCACTTTCATACAGTCTTTCATAAAAACAACATTACAGTAAGAAAGATTAGGAGAGCAGGTCCCCACGGATAATCTCTTTTCCCGCGCCAACCACATGTACTTTCCTTCGTGCTTCCGACTCCAGCTTTGACCCGATTCCTACATTTCCTACTACAGAGACATCGCTGAATCCTGAAGACTTAACCCTGCGTTCCATCGATGACATAGTCCTATCCCCGACCTATAAACACCAAATTGTCATCAACAGCAACAGCAGGGTAACCGTACAGCTTTCCAACTGCTTATCCACTACCAGAAACATTGAAAGGTACATCACATGGTCACCTAGAAGAATCCGATAATCTTCGGATGCCAGTGCAACGGAGACCTTCATCCAATTGTTCATTTCATCCGTTGCATACGAACGAATGAGATGTGAAAGACAGCTTACTGGAAAGGCATTGGAAAACTGTGGTAAATCTTGAAAACGAATTGCAGAAACTGAGCGAGGCGAACATCAGTAAAAATAAAGCAAGGTTACCCGTAACCGGGCCGACGTATAGCTGACGCGTCGACAAAGCGCGCGCCGACTATTCGCTGGCGGACCACTCAATAAAAAGTACACAAAAGCAGCAGGCTAACGACATACACGATAACCACAGAAAGTGGGAAATCGATAAGACGTATGAACTGTAAATCGATGGCCTGTAAATCGTGGGCATCGGAGCTGACTCACCGCCTGAATACTTGCTTCAGAAAAGTATGTACCGCGTCATCTGACGTTAAGTGCCAACCATAGATATCCACACCACAAAGTCCCATAATCTGGATGGGCCGGCAAAGGATGACTGCCCATTCGAGAAATGGCTTTGGATCCGAACCATTTGCTCTATTCCCTTCGAGACTAAAATTTCTTGTTCGTTGCTTGGTAAAAACCAGGATGAGCGATTGTTTTGGTACGGCACTTCCCGGGACAGTGTATGAAACTCCGTTTTGTTCAGGGAAGACATTAGGATACTGAGTCTGCAGGAGTTCAATGATGAGTAGTAGGGAAACCTCCTCACACAGTGTTTTCCTAGAAAGCGCCACTAGCGCCACTTCAGTGAACGATTTGTTGCTTGCCTTCTGGGATTTACCATATTCACATGCTCGCTATGGCAGTGGACAAGAGAAAAGATCGGCTACAGGTTGCACTAGGTATGTGGCCCTTTCCAACCCAAACTAGGAGTGCAGTTAGTAGCGACCCATTGAAAGCCTGTCTACATACATCAATCCATACGATTGGTCTAAATGAATCGGAGCTACTTTTGAATCGGCGTGGAGGCTCAAAAACGTACGCGAAGCACAACAATGAAGGATGTTAAACAGACACCATTCTGCATCTGATTACCAAGGCGCATGAGTACTGAAGCTCATTTAAAACCGGCAGATTGTGCATCAGCTTGCGCAGGCACCAGGGGATACGAACATTTTTGAGAAAGTACAGATCACTCTTTTGAGTACACCGAAGAGCCCGCATCAGAAAGTGACAGCGTTTGGAAGTGGCCGGGCATAGTCGACGTTGCGGACGAAGGCATTCCAGAAAACCTCGACAGTCAGTATCGAACTAGTTTGGTACGTGTGAATCCGATGCGAGGAATTAGGAGACAGTATACAACTAAAATTATTAATGGAAAAGTTTTGGAAGGTAATTTTTCCATTTTTTTATTGGTTCCTCTTGAGGATAGACTACCTCTCAGAAGAGACCACTTCTGGTCGTCTCTTCAGAGCGAGACGAATCCGCACATGATATAATCTGCCCACAGGTTCCAAAAAGAAACGCACGCAGGAACAATTAAAAAAACACGCAACAGTGACTCACTCCGACATTAGGATCCTCCATTGCCCTGACAAAAGCAACGGAGGCTTTTGAACAGGTTCGGACAGTTTCCGTGCGCCCCTCGCGGAACAGGCGAGTCATCGATGCCTCATAGGTAAGGCAGAATCTTCCAGAATTCTGAAAACGATTACAATAATGCAACCTAGAAGAAGGAAATGTGACGACAAAATGACAAGCAAAAGGATCACCAAAATGGCGATTGACCAGTGTCAACATACGTTTCGGAAGGCGAGATGGTCCGAGTGGTTAGAGCGCGAATTTACTGACCGGAAAGGTCCGTGGTTCGAATCCGACCTCTGCCTCTCGACATCCCCTGTCTAGGCTTGGGCAACCTGATAGTATCCCAGCCCTCGTGCAACCTTCGGTTGAAATGGCAGTTAGGCACCGAAAGGGTGCTACAGCTGAAGGATTTTTTACATACGTTCCGCTAACGTATGACGATCAGTCCACTCTTGGAAATTTATCGTACAAAATAACAGGTGGAAAGTCATAATAGATTAAGGAAGCTTGTCGCACGCACTTTCCGCCAGAGACTGAAACGGACCAACTCATCAACACAGCATCAAGCGTACCATCAACTACGCCGCAAAAAATTCAAATATGCCAGAAGACATCGTAAATTGCTCTTGGAGATCGCTCTCCGACTCCCTAAATTCTCAAAGTGTCCTCCATGAGCAAAGCCTACACTCGCCACAAAACCAGTGACCTGTCCAAGCAGCAGTTTTACGCACATGGTCACCGGAACTAAACGATACAAAGACTTTACACTGTAGGCGATGGTGCAAGAGGCTCCGAAATCCATTAAGTGTTGTCTTTAGACAACACTACGGGGTTCAACGACCTTTGGTGGTTCTCTGTTTATCTTGGAGCTTCAGACTACAGAACATCATGGAGCTAAACAAAACGCAGAACAGCATTAAACCACTCTTCCATTGTGACTACATTAAATTCGTCTCATTATTTCGATCCTTAAAATGAGCTCCCATCGTTTCGGTCCTTATCAACACTGAAAGAACCGTCAAAATCTTTTTTTACGTCTTTTCCAGTGAAACAACAAATACGAGCACCGGCATCCAATTTAAAGGCGAGATCCGAACCCAGGTCGTCGAAAAACGGCTTGCACTTTTAACCACTCGGCTAACCGGCTCCAGTTACGATTCACCGGGAGCTCTTTCGAAACAACGTGCCTCTGGAGAGGTTGTTGTGGTTGACTGTTGTGGTCGCTCCAATCAGACTACTTCTAATTGGTAGTCAGTACAGTTAACACACCATTTTAGACTTGTCGTGGATTGAAAATCGTAGTTCGATTGGAGGCTACAACATGTTAGTTGATCGGATGATCCTACCACACACAGTGTGCTTGCTCATAAGCAGTGCTGAGGTGCGGAAGTGGTCCCACCTTAATCAGCGAGACGGAATAACCACCGATTCCCTGAGTAACTGTGCCACATCCCATGCATTGACGAAGAGGAACAATCGATCCAGCACTCGTTCAGATTTTTGGACCTGAAAGCTGTGTTTTCGAATGCAGACTACACCATATATTTGATGACCTTTCTTGTAACGACGCCATTTTCAGCATAACTGTGTAGAGGTACATGGCTAATGCAGTGTTTGACTATTCTAGCCCACCCACCCACACACACACACACACAATAAGACGACCTCTCTAATACAACCGAATCCGCACTGTCGTAATAGAGAAGGTAGTGTACAAGCATTCTGGGAATTCAATTCCTTGCTGATCTGCTGTTTTTCCGAGACGTCTCAGAGTGAATTTAGGGTATCGCATGCAAATCAAGCGTGATCTTGCCGAAACGAACGAAGTATGTTCCGTCCGTTCTGATGGCCACGGACCTGTATGATGTAGTGTTGAACGCGATCCACAAGCCAAATTGCAGAAGGATACCGGACAGATATGATGGTGTGAAACAAACACTTAATCAGTGGATACATGTTGACTTACTCGGAAATAAGTCAGTTGCAGTGCCATTTGAATATAAGCATCCGGTGAAAGACGCTGCGCTGCAATAAAACTCTTCCCGTAGGCTCGGTGAGGAAAAACGTGCAGATGTACGTCACTGATCACATTGGTTACTACCTTCAGAGCTGTCTTCATCGCATCGATGCACTGCACGAAAGAACGAGGACAACAGAATACGGAAATCGATCGGATAACAAATAGGGTGCAAACGAGGATGAATGAAGCAAACAGGGAAGTTAATTAAATCTAACCTGGTCGGAAAAGTCCCAAGAAAGTCGAGAACACAATGGCAGAGGAGAAGTAGCTCGCCCACGACAGTGCCCATTATGATCGTAACTGAAAAGAATGAGGAATCGGGTGCATGAGAGCCTGCCATCCGATTGTGTGTAAACATCTGCTACAGGTATACAGTGGTCAAACGTACCCAGTTTCATATTTATGTATTAAATTTCTATATGGGTAATGCCAGGATGAAAGAGTTTTGGCGATTCCCGTATCTAGACTGTGAATACACCACTCCCCATCCATCCAAGGGATGCTTTGAAGGAAATCTTTCTACAAGCTAAGAAATTCCCCTGACGATCGACAAGGAAACTTTACATTACAGCCATGAACAAAAGAACCTACACGTGGTAGTATGGCGGTTTGATTTGGGACGTTGAATCCATTTCAAATGCTAGATAGGATGAAACGAACATAGTTCGACTCGTCAGCTTTCGTCCGGAAGTAGTTAACTGCCCAATCCGCAAAAATTGCCAGAAGTATCTTTGGAACTATTAGTCCTTGGCTCAAAATATCAAGGTTGTGGGTCTTGGCACACCAAAACTGAATCCGTAAGTTGATAGGTACGGCGCATTGCTCGAAACAATGATACGTAGTGCGAAGACCAACGCTCACAGAGGAAGACTACTCATGAAGAAAGATGCCTGTTTCGTGAACGAGGGAAGACCAGAACGTACGCAATACATTCACTGGTGCCGTTCGGTTTCAAAATCCACGTCCAGTCTAACGGCGACCAGAAACAAAAGGTTCCTTGGCTCTGTTAAAACCCGTTTTCGTCTTGAGCCGGAAGCCTGGTTAGGCCAAACCTCCGAGTAAGACACAGTTCAGGTGCTCCTCAACGTATTTTTAATACACTGGGAATACAGAGCTCAGTAATAAACTGAGAAACACTCTATCCCGATGTACAACTATCTGCCACCAGTGAGCCGCTTCATTTTCTGTGTGCGGCGTCAGTTCAGTACATTGCTGTCATTCAACCTAAAGTAATCGCAAAGGCTAAGACATTGCCAGAAATCCAGATTTCAATGAAGACTTGGACCATAAATAACTATGAGATGGTAATGCGGCAAAAAGATATTTATGGAATATACTGCCCCTAAGGAACACACAATTGAAAACATTTCAGCCACGTAAAATACATGATGGACTCTATGTGATGAGAGTGACAGAACCTGATTTCCCCCCCCCCCCCCTGCAAGGCACTCAAGCGTGCCTTGATGCAATAGTTTGCTCACAATGACGTCAACGACAGTTATACGAATTTGGCACTGCAAGTTTTAATCCGTGCATCATAGTTCACTACCAGATGAATCGCTGGCCTAG